ATTTAACTCTTTGAACGTACAATAGTGGTTGTGAAGCAGAAAGTCAGTTTATTTAGCACAATCGGTCAATTGCAGCTTGCCGTTGGCTGGAAACTGTACGTTTATGTCACTGGAATGCACTAATCACCCAAAAAATATTACCGCCACCCGGCGTGTAAATGGATTTAACTCTTTGAACGTACAATGGTGGTTGTGAAGCAGAAAGTCAGTTTATTTTGCACAATCGGCAAACTGCAGCACCAACTGTGCACGACAGCCACCAAAAAAAAAAAGGGTGTATGTCACTTTAAATTTTCGATTCTTTGATAGCTGTTGCCCTAAGTAACGATTCTGTGTCCCTGAGTAACGATTCTGTGTCCCTGAGTAACGATTCTGTGGCCTTAACTCTGTCCCTTAATACACACAGGTCTGTCTCTCTTGAATGACCGGAGGCTAATGGAGAATTCTAAGATGGCCGCGATTTATAGCTCCACCATTACACAGTGCTGGCTGGCTGCTGATTGGCTAATGCGATCACATGTCATGAATGCATTATGGGTCAGCGCGCCTTGTCTGCGCGCCTTCCCAGAGATCCCCGCCCCATCTTCTCTGTCCATTTTCTCCGTCGCCACACATGTCGCCGCCATTTTTGGGAAAATTCGATTCGTGCATCCGAAGTTTGCTAATCTTCGGATTCGTCGCGAATAGAATTTTTCCAAATCTTCGGAACGAATTCCACTTCGTCATGTTCGATTCGCTCATCTCTACTACAACCCATATTTGCTACTATGTAAAACTATAAATACATTTATAAATAAGGTGGAAAAACTATGGATTTATGGATTGGTAGATAAGAATACCAAGACAGATACATAAGTGTTTAGGATCACTATATACATATAAAAAATGTAAGCACACACATTGCAGAGAAGGGAAGGGATAAAACTAAAATAAACATAAAAATAAGAAGTAAAATGCAATATTGAATAAAACTGACACCAACCTATGATCTACTGTTGGACTATGATTAATCCAAACTCACAGTGCTATCCTGTTAATCCAACCTCAAAAGTACTATGAATAAATATATTACATAAAAATAATATTCAATAAAGTACCCAACATCCAATACAGCAAAAGTGCTTTGTGTTCTTATTATTTTCAGTCTCTCCGATAAAGTGCTTGTGCTCAGACCACAATCTGTGCAATCTTTCAAAATAGTTGTTTGTAGTTGTGCAAACTAGATATCTCCTTCACATGCTCCAGAGTAGACCATCCCCAAGTGTTCCCACACTCACCAGAGCTTGTGGACTCAATGCTAAAGCACTGAGATTCTCAAGCACTTGTTAGCAGGTATACAGGTGCTCTCTGCCCAGGCTTCTGTCTCCTCTCTGTCTTCCCATTCCTCTGGTGCAGTATATTATGCTCATTACTCCTCACCAGATGTAATCCTCATCATGTAAAAGGACATTTATTGAAGAAGGAAGACCTTGGTGCAGTGTTCAGTCTCCTTGCTGCAGTGGTTCTGCTGGCTTCACCTATGACTATAGGACTGTACTATATAAGAAGAAGCTGTTAAAATGTGGGTTTGAAACAATTTAGGGCAATTTCAATGTTCACGCATCCTGGGTTCAATGTACCCAATTTGTGTGTCCAGCATGTCTCATTCCTCAATATCCTTTTTTTCAGATCAGACCTCCTCCAATAGCATGAGACCTTATCTATACCAAAAAACTTACTGGGCTTCTTATTATGAAATAATCTGAAGTGAGTAGACACACTCATGAGATTTAATAAAGCAGGTTCACATAGAATCTGGTGCAGGTGAGCATAGAAACTAATCAGCTTTCAGGTTTTATTGTGAAGCTTAACTGAACAAGCTTAAGTTAGAAGCTGATTGGTTACTATGCACAGCCGCTCCAGATTCTGAGAGCACCAGTTTTATAAATCACCCCCACTGTGCTTTCTGAATCCTTCTTTTATATTATTAATATGTTCCCCAATTTGGGTGGTCAGATGTATCAGTCTTATAGGACCTTAATGTATGTGTAGCTATATACTAAAGAAAAATTATTAACCGCTTTCCCGCTGCTGTACAGCAGATGTACTGCTAAAGGGCGGCACAGCTGCACAAAATCGTGTATATATAAGTGATTGTGCTTTTCCAGGTAGGGTGTGCTTGCGGAGGGCATGCGCAGCCTACCTGCGGCGCCATTAGCGTTCTGAGCTGTCATTCACCTGGTCCTGGCTGGTGATTACTGACCGGGGCCCAGTGATTCCCCCTAGTTTCAGAATGCCTGCCACAGTCCCGCTATAAGTCGCTGATCACCGCCATTACTAGTAACAAAAACAAAAAAACAGTACTGTATATATACCACCATTTGTAAACATTATAACTTTCACATAAACCAATTAATTTACACATATTGGGATTTTGTTTAGCAAAGACATGTAGCAGAATACATTTTGGCCTAAATTTATGATAAAATTTGTTTTTTTTAATTTTTATATTGGACATGTTTAATAGCAAAAAGTCAAAAATATAGTTTTTTTTTCTCAATTGTCGGTAATTTTCTTTTAGCGCAAAAAATAAAAAAAAAACGCACAAAAAATAAAAAAAATTAAATACCAACGAAATAAATCTCTATTCAGGGGAAAAAAGGATGTAAATTTCATTTGGGTGCAGCGTTATATGACTGCGCAATTGTTAGTTAAAGTAATGCAGTGCTGTAACGCAAAAAATGGCCTTATCAGAAAGGGGGAGTAAACCCTCTGGAGGGCAAGAAAAAACAAAGTGTTTTAAATATTGGTAATAAAATAGAAGCAAACACATAAAAATCTACAGAAAAATGATTGAAATTAGAAGAAGTTGATTATAGCTAATTAGGGTAAATTAATGGCTAATAAGCAATTATACAGAAGCAATTTTTATTAAAACAAAAAAAAAAAACTTTTTTTACTTATCAGAATGCTTTAACTGACATCTGCAGATTGAAGCTCATCCTTTTGAACTGCAGATTAATTTTACAGAGTAGATACAAAAGTAACAATGTTACTTTGTATCACTTTATTTTGTGTTTGGACAGCGTTGATAAACAGCATTTTCACTAGAGCTACTGTATGTACACAGCAACTCCCAGCTTTGTTCAATCAAAACCAAAAAATACAGAGAGTGGGTCACGTCAGCATGGCAGATAGACTGGATGTGCTATATAAACATCATATTTTTTATATATATATATATATATATATATATATATATATATATAATATATTATTGCCAAAGTATTGGGATGCTTACCTTTACACGCACATGAACTTTATTGGCCTCCCAGTCTTAGTTCGTAGGGTTCAATATTGAGTTGACTTACCCTTTGCAGCTATAGGAGCTTCAACTCTACTGAGAAGGCTGTCCACAAGGTTTAGGAGTGTACCTCTGGAAATGTTTGGCCATTCTTCCAGAAATGCATTTGTGAGGTCAGGTACTGATGTCAGATGAGAAGGCCTGGCTCACAGACTCTGCTCTAATTCATCCCAAAGGTGTTCTATCGGGTTGATGTCAAGACTCTGCAGGCCAGTCACGTTCTTCCACCCCAAACTCACTCATGCATGTCTTTTATGGACCTTGCTTTTTTCACTGGTGCACAGTCATGTTGGAACAGAAAGGGGCCATCCACAAATGGTTCCCACAAAGTTGGGAGCCTGAAATTGTCCAAAATGTCTTGGTATGCTGACACCTTAAGAGTTCCCTTCACTGGAACTAAGGGGCCAAGCCCAACCCATAAAAAACAACCCTACACCATAATCCCCCATTCATCAAACTTTACACTTGGTAAAATGTAGTCAGGCAAGTACCATTCTCCTGGCAACCACCAAACCCAGGCACTTCCATTGAATTGCCAGACAGAGAAGCATGATTTGTCACTCCAGAGAACACTTCTCCACTGCTCTAGAATCCAGTGGCAGTGTGCTTTACACCACTGCATGTGACGCTTTGCATTGTGTTCTCTGGAGTAATGAATCATGCTTCTCTGTGTCTGGCAGTCCGATGGACCTGTCCAGGTTTGGCAATTGCCAGGAGAACAGTACTTGCCTGACTGCATTGTGCCAAGTGTAAAGTTTGGTAATGGGTTTTTTTTTTTTTTAGGGGTTGGGCTTGGCCCCTTAGTTCCAATGAAGGGACCTCTTAAGGCATCAGCATACCAAGACATTTTGGACAAATTCATGCTCTCAACTTTGTGGGAGCAGTTTGGGGATGGCCCCTTCCTGTTCCAACATGACTTTGCACCAGTGCACAAAGCAAGGTCCATAAAGACGTGGATGAGCAAGTTTGGGGTGGAGGAACTTGACTGGTCTGCACAGTCTTGATCTCAACCTGATAGAACACCTTTGGGATGAATTAGACTGCGAGCCAGGCCTTCTCGTCCAGCATCAGTGCCTGAACTCACAAATGCGCTTCTGGAAGAATGGTCAAACATTCCCATAGACACACTCCTAAATCCTGTGGACTGCCTTCCCAGAAGGGATGAAGCTGTTATAGCTGCAAAAGGTGGGCCAACTCAACATTGAACTTTATGGACTAAGACTGGGAAGCCATTAAAGTTCATGTAGAGGCAGGCATCCCAATACTTTTGGCAATATAGCGTATATATAAACTCTGCTTGCAGAGATGAGGCACTTCATTTTGCCAAAATTTTTGTCCTCACTCAACAACTGTTAAATGGGTTGGTGGGAGAAGCTTAGCATCTTTGTGAGTGGGAAGCCCATTACGACTGTATCTATTGGCTTAGTGGCTATATGACCTGTAAATAAACTGTCAAGGCACACAACAGGAGGCACTAAAGGACTTTACAGAGTATGTCAACCACAGTTCAATTCAACCGCCTCCTGCCTACCGCTCGCCATAAAAGGTAATGATGGGTGCAAGGCGGTTCTCTCATTTTGGGAGGACGTCATATGACGTCCTCCAATTCTAACCGCGCATGCATGGCTCCAGGAGCGGGCAGCGCGGTGATCGGTCGTGTGCTGTGTCCCTCGGACACAGCGGATCACCGATCAATGGAAACCGCCAAAGATGTCGGCTCGGTCATGTGACAGCTGTGTCCAATCACAGCTGATCGCATGTAAATAAGGAAATGCCGGTTATCGGCATTTCTCTCCTCACGAGCTGTCACACTGACAGCTCGAGAGGAGAGGAGAGCCGGTAATCGGCATTCCTCAGAGGGGACATCTACACTGATCATCAGGGCACAGATGATCAGTGTGCCCTGATGATCAGTGTAGCCCCAGCAGTGCCACCTGTCAGTGTCCATCAGTGCCATCTGTCAGTGCTCATCCATGCCACCTGCCAGTGCCCATCAGTGCCACATCAATGCCACATATCAGTGCCTACCAGTGCACATCAATGCCACATATCAGTGCCCATTTGAGCTGCCTTTCAGTGTCACTTGTCAGTGCCACCTATCAATGCCAGTCAGTGCCACCTATCAATGCTGCCAATCAGTGCCACCTATCAGTGCCAATCAGTGCTGCTTATCAGTGCCAATCAGTGTCGCCTATCAGTTCCAGTCAGTGCCGCCTATCAGTGCCATTCCATGCCACCTATCAGTGCCGCCTAACAGTGCCAGGCAGTGCCACCTATCAGTGCCTGTCAGAGCTGCATATCAGTGCCACCTATTAGTGCCACCTATCAGTGCCATATATGAGTGCTGCCTTTTTCAGTGCCCATCAATGATGTCTGTCAATGCCCATCAGTGCCACCTACCAGTGCCGCCTATCAGTGTCCATCAGTGCAGCCTATCAGTGCCCATCACTGCAACCTCATTAGTGCACACCAGTGAAGGAGAAAAATCACTTATTTACAACATGTTTTAACAAAAACTAAGAAAAAACATTTTTGTTTTCCAAATTTTCTGTGTTTTTTGGTTTGTTTAGCAAAAAATTAAATACCACCAAAAGAAAGCTCTATCTGTCTCAAAAAAATTATAATAATTTCATATGGGTACAGTGTTGCATGACCACGCAATTGCCATTCAAATTGTGACAGCACTGAAAGTTGAAAATTGGCCTGGGCAGGAAGGGAGTATAAGTGCCCTGTAGGCAAGTGGTTAAGCTTTAGCAGTGCATGGGATCTACAGCATTACTTATTAACTTCCTTGATTTGACTACAAGGTGATCTTGACACAAGGAATGCAGTGGCAATTAAACCTTGCTTGCTACCAGTTGCCACACAAGACAATGTATCAATACTGTAACACTGAGGAAAACTATGCAGGCGACAAGGAATTGCTCAGACGATAAGCTTTTTGGATTAGAAACTGAGGTCATTATAGAATGACTAAAACAAAATCTAAGAAAATAACAACAGTGAACTCTATAAAATAAAGCTAAGCAATTGTCAGTAGAAGAATAGGGAGGATTTGTTGGGCAACAGTGCCAGTACACAGAAGAAATGGTTGTCTGGCAAACCTACATTTTTACAACCTACCACCTTTTCCACTCAGTATGCAGCTCTTAAAGAAATTATTAAATGCAATTTTACATGGGGATCATCAGCTGCATACCATTTTACAAGAAGGTTGTAGCTTCTCTTTTTGGAGGCACCACTTGGGACCACTTATTTCACCCAGTCTTTTTGATACAAAATTGATGTTTGATACTTGGCTTAAGGTGAAGGTGTCTTCAAATGTGGGCTCAAAAATTGTCGCTATTGCATGGTTCATGTAAAGAAAGTATAGTGTAATCTGTAGTGACTAATGGGACCTTCTGTGTGGATCAATTTTGAATCGAAGTTGTAAGAATGTGGTTTACACTAACACTTGTTTAGACTGAGGTGATTGTAGCCGTATTAGTGCACTTGCGACAGAAACAATTGAGTACTGACATCATACTTTTTTTATTTGCACTAACATACAATTTTGAGGACAAGCTTTCGGGTATGTCCCCTTCTTCAAGGTCCAGGCAGTACTACTACAAAGTTTTAGCAAAATCTTAGGCGAGATGTTGAGGAGGAAAAAAAAAAAAACAGAAAGAAACACACACAAACAGATGTACACAGCAATGGTTAAAAGATTAGGGTTAGACTAGAGATAAGACACAGCAAAAGCAAAGACTGGGAGGGGGGGGAGGGAAACAACACTCACAGAGGGGGTCATAAAACTTCAGGATAATGAGTGAGGAATCCCATGTCCAAATTAAGGCCCTTATCGCTTGTGTCAAATAGAATTATCATTCATAGTTCAAAAGTTTTCCTTTCCTGAATAGATTTGAAATTTCCTTTAATAACTAAAATTAGATTAAGACATTATGAAAAGAATTAAAAATTAAGAAAAGAAATTTCAAATCTATTCAGTAGTACTGCCTGGACCTTGAAGAAGGGGAATACCCCGAAATCTTGTCATCAAAATTGTATGTTAGTGCAAATAAAAAAAAGTATCACGTCAGTACTCAATTGTTTCTGTTGTTTAGACTGCAAATATGTGGGATCTACTGCAAATCCAAATCGGTGAACATTATTGTGCTGGTCTGTGCTATACTCTGCCTAGACAATCAAATGTTGCTAAACATTTTTGGAACATACAGTACATTGGGGTAAAATGGATTATTTTCCTTTCTATGCTATTGAATGTATAGATAGTTCTGTATGTTGGAGAGATTTACGTTTTTGTTTACTTTGACATAAAGCTTTTTGGATCTTTAAGGTTAATACCAGAATCCCTCTAGGCCTAACTTTAGGTAAGGCATTGACCTCAATATCTAATGTTGCTATTTGGTTTGTGGCTCCACTGTGTATACTTGGGAATAACGGTTGGTGCATACTGAATGCAACTGGCGCTATTTCATTTTTGAGTAAACGGTGAGCTGTGCCACTCGCCCACCACTTCCACCCACCACCTCCTTACCTAGAACTGATAGTATTATTTACAAGAAGGAGGAGGTATATCCTGTCATTCATCTGCTTGTCCTTCATTAAAAGAACACTTTGAAGTTGATTTACTAAAACTGGAGAGTGGAAAATCGGGTGCAGAGCTGCATGGAAACCAATCACCTTCCAGTGTTTTTTGTCAGAGCTTAAGTGAACTGTAGCACTATGCCCTTAGGATTGCTGTTGAATTGGGTCCCCCTATAGTCCTGCACAGCCATTTATTAAGCATTTTCCACACAAGCTTTCATCCAGAGACAGAAACCAGTCCTTGAGCGTTGGTTTTGGTATTTATTTTTGGGATTATAACTTGGATAGGGTAAGGGAGTATAGGATGCCCAAGGGAACCGATAACTAAAGAAAACTTCCTGAACTATTCACAAGCTTCTCCTTCAGCAACACAGTCTCTGGCGGAGTGCTAGCCAGCATCTCCTAGTTGTACCACCCCAGACCCTAGATGGACTCCTCTTCACCCACCAATCTGGAGACTTTGTTCCTGAGCATGGGATCTGGCTCATGACCCTTTAATTAAGGCGAACATTCACTAGTAGGGGCTAATCTGGTTTCCCACCCGAGTGCTTCTTCCCCTATTCATCCAGGGTTGCAGATGTACTCACTCAGGTCCTCTCTTGTACCACTTGTGGTTGGCTGCTGTTACCAGTCCTATCAGCTGGGCTTTTCCTTCCCTGTCATACAGGTGGTCCTTGCTCGGGCCAGTGAGTCCTGAGTTTACCTCCTTTCCGGCTCCAGGCTCAAAGGCAGGCCCCATCCCACTAGGTCTCTTAGCAGCCTTCCTCCTCCAACCTCACATTTTCCTCCAACTCTCTACACCTCTCCCACCTCCATACTCCTGCCACTGAGCAGGCTGTTACACTTTTAAGGGAGTCCCAGCCCCCTTTCAAGCCTTTTGTTGGGGATTGACTGAGGTTCCTCAAGAGCACAGCCAGCCACTCCTCAGATCCACCCACTGCCTTTAAGGCCCTCCTCTGAAAGCCTTAGAGCAGGGGGAAATTCCAGAGGGGCTGGTCTGGCCCTGACCAAAATTTGGCTATTACACCAAAGGCTGCTAACAGCTCCTGACTAACCATTAGGGTCTAGCTGTACTAGGAGGGTGCTACAGAACAAACTGAATTATAAGCTGAATTAATTCAATTATTGGAGAAGGCAAGCAGTGCACCTCTTTCACACTCTCAGTAGCTGATGTTAACCCCCACAGTGCCAGGAGATCTGGTGGCAGTAGAGAGAAGATTTCTACACATTGAAGCAGCTACCTGGACATGGGACATTGTTCATCTTTGCTGCTACATAGCTAAAAGAAATAAGCTTCAGCTTTAAAGTAATAAAACGAAAAAAGCAATGCAGTACCTATTTTTAAAAACAAATCAACCTAATATTTACACATTGTTAAGCTTTTGTATACAAAACTTCCTTGGTTTCCTTTCCTTACTTTATGTCCTCTACTCAGTGCATTGAAAGTTATCATAGCCATGTGACACAGCACTCTACTAACAATGACATTAAATTAAAGCCAAGTTCTCCTTGTTTGGAAACGATTCCAGTCCTGGCAGCATTTTCATAGGCCTAGTTTTGTATATTTGCTGCCTGAACTGTGAAGAGGTTCACCAGCTGTTTGATACTGCAAATGGGGAATTGACCCTTGTACAAGAAGAATATGCATGTTTAAATGTACAGCTATTTAGCCATTCACATTGTTTATGCCTTGAATGCTCAGCACAAACCTTTATTCAGCATCTAAATAACTGGCACCAACTGCTATGGTGCTTGTAAAGGTTTATTCCGCAATAAATTCACAATCCAGCTTCTTCACTGCCTATTTTAGGAAATAATTACATTTGTCACAGACTGCATTGTACTAAAGGAATAGCTTGACATGTTTTGATAAGGAAATACATTTTGCTATGCAATCATTTTTTTTCTCAGTTAAAAGTGATCCCAATGTTGAAAAAGCACTAGAATAGATCTGTTGATTAAATTAATTAATGGGTGGAAAAGCAGAAAGGCTATTTATGTATAATGAATATACTGCACAAAAAGGAGGGCATTATAGAGAATTAATTAGTAAGCTCCCTTCTGATAAATAGATAAATTGTGAAGTATTAGGTGGAAACATTGTGGATGATGGGTTTCTGTCTCCTATGAAGAAAACAACTTTGTTTTCCCAGATCTTAAGGTTTTACAGAACTTTGCATGGGAGAGAGCCTCCAGTCCTAGATCCACACTTCACCCATTAGTCAGACTTCACTAGTTAGTGTCAGCTGTTCTCAGGCCTTTTTTTTTTTAGTTTACTTTCTTTGCTGTGGGAGCCTGCTGCTGGGTGGAAAGGATGACTGCTCACAGAACACTAAAAGGTACCAAATTACCTGTTAGAGCTGCCTGTAAATAAGCAGATGTCTTGTTTTGTTTTTGCTACAGATTTGCTGTACAACGCCCTGCATTGATGCTTTGTTTACTGCCTTGTTCCTAGGTGTCTGTTACAGTTACATAGGTTAAAAAAAGACACATTCCCATGTACTTCAATAGAAAAAATATGATCCGTGGTCCAATTTTCTCCAGCTGGAAAGTA